GATCTAAAGAGGCCAATTCCCTTCTTTCTCCCACAGTTACTTCCTGTGGGTCATCATTCACATATGTAAATGAAGAGGGGAAGGAGTGGGTTATCAAGGACACTGCAGCCGGTTAAGCTGGTTTGGGGGCATTGTGCAGGTACCCCATGGCAGACTGATACCACCCCTATTCTCAACACCTCCCCAGACACCTCATTCCTCGGATGTATCCATTTGTCTATTCTCCTCTGGATACTTTGGATTATGGCCCATCACTGATTTGACTCCCACACCATTCCTTGGAGTGAAGGTCTCGAAATACACAGCTGTGCAGTGCTAAAGAAAGGTGCTGGGTTAACAGCCCCAACGTCTTCTATTACTGCTGGCACAGCACACACAGTGGAAGTAGGAGTTTCCTTTATGCTTCTGAAATGTGCCTCAACCTTGTCCCAAGGGAGGACTCCTGGGAATAAGAGGAGACGTTCATTCTCCATGCAGCCCTTGGCTTCTCTGCTGGGGCTGCCAACAAAGGGTCCCAATTTGTGCCATCCTGGTGGTGTTTTGGGGGAAGCCAGACAACTGGACCGAGATCCAGATTAAATTCACGCAGGCCAAGCAGCCACCGGTTAGCAATGACCTTCAATTGCTACCAACCTGGGGCTGGATTTGAACCAGTAACCTTGAGATGAACGGCTTTATAGACCTTCATCAGGTGGAAGCCATCTAGTTGCCCCACAGACACAACTCCTTCACCTCAAAGGCTAACCTAGAAGTGTCTTGTTCCCTTTAATGCTAACACACAATTAAAGCAAGAAGCACAGGAGCTGAGGATCAGAGAAGTAGCCATTTGGGCATCAAAGTTACCTTTGACCCCATTTCTCCCTTCCACCCTCCCCCGAAATAATCCACTCAGTCACGTACATCAGTTTCTTGAACATACCAGCTCTCCACCAACTCCTTCTAAATTTATGGCTACATTAGAGAACTTGCCGCTGCACCACTGTAAGCTCTCCAGTATAGAAGAGAGCTCTCTCCTCACCTTAATGAATCCACCTCCATCAGAGGCAGTAGCTAGTCAGCACCAGAAGCTCTCCCGCCGACCTAGCGCTGTCCACACCAGCACTTAGGTTGATGTAACTTATGTCGCTCAGGGGGAGTGGCTTATTCACACCCCTGAGTGACATAAGTTACACTGACATAAATGGTAGTGTAGACATAGCCTAAGTCTGCGAACGTCACAGGAACTGCTCAGATCAGAGATTCTCAACCCACGGCCCAATCAGCACACAGCTGCGGCCTATGTGACATCCTCAGGGCCATACAGGTAGTATATATATTGTGTGGATGCGGCCTGCATAACAAAGAGAGGGCCCACGGTGCTAAATAGGTTGAGAACACTGGCTCAGATTCAGGGTCGGCTCCAGGCACCAGCGCAGCAAGCAGGTGCCTGGAGTGGCCAGTGAAGAGGGGCGGCACGCCTGGCTCTTCGGTGGCGGGTACCTCAGTCCCTCTCAGAGGGAAGGACCTGCCGCCGAATTGCCGCCGAAGAACGAAGCAGTGTGGTGGAACTGCTGCCGAAGTGCTGCTGATCGCAGGCTTTTTTCTTTTCCGCCGCTAGGGGCGGCAAAAACCCTGGAGCCGGCCCTGCTCAGATTAAGGGCTCCCCAGACCCCATCCTAGGTGATTTAAGGAAATTTGTGGCCTTTTCCTAGACAGTGGGTTGTGAGAGATACAACAGACAGACCCACCCTGGCTAATCCTTTTTTGTGCAGGAATGTTAGTGACTGCAATCAGAAACTAGACTGTCTGGGGGCAATAAATGCTGGGGAGAATAGAACATTCCTACCCAGACTCCATTAGCCAGGGGTCACGTTGAATCTCTCTCTCTCTCACACACACAAAAGATCCAGTCGCTTCTTCTAACAGAGAACTTGGCCCTGTCTTTTGCTGGATCTAGTGACCAGTCCAGAAACCCAGAAAACTGGGTTTTCCCCGCCAATCTGAATCCATCTCCTCCGAACTCAAGCAAATGTTTATTATGCATCTAAAGGGCTGTGTAATCAGAGCAAAAGCAGTTTCCTTTCTGTTCTACACCATGCCACATCCCTGACTGCATTCTCCCAGGCTAAGAGAATTCAGTTTTCCACGTTCATTCACTTTGGGATTTGCCATATCATTCCATCAGCCATGACCACAGGAGCCACTCTCTCCTGGAACAGAAGGTGAAAGAGAATCCAGACCCCACCTCCGTTCAATCTTGTGGTTCCAACACACAACTTCCTCAACAGCAGGGATAGGTTATAACCAAAACCCTGTATCTGAAACACCCTGAACTAAGTCTGGGAAAGCTCTGTTCTGAACTCTTTAAACAATGGCACTCAGCCTACCCCTGGAAGGGGTCTCATGACATTCAGGAGTAGGGTGACCAGATGTCCCGATTTTATAGGGACAGTCCTGATTTTTGGGTCTTTTTCTTATATAGGCTCCTATTACCCCCCATCCCCTGTCCCGATTTTTCACATTTGCTGTCTGGTCACCCTATTCAGGAGCCACCAATACGTCCATTTCTAAGTCCCGCTCTTGCAGTGGTTTTCACATGATCGTTTAATGTACATTAAATGATCAACTCCATTGCAGGATATTACACTACAGGCACCGCACCAACTTTTAAACGAAGCAATCAAGCATAAGTTTCTTTGGTGCTATCTAGGAATAAATAGCAAACGTTTACAACAAAAACAATCCATGTTCAATTACCCTTCAGCCCTACTATTAACCAGCTATATTATGTCCATACTGGCTGGGCAGACGGCATTTAACCTGTGTCAGCCTGAATCCAAGGGTAGCTAAGGCCTTTGAAAGATACAGAACCAGAACAGAGATCACGCAGACAGTCAACATCTCTAAACATACATCTCTAAGGAACCGTCTACACTGCAAGTGAAGGTGGATTGCAGCATGGGTAGTCATCCCTGTGCTAGCTTTAATCTAGCTGGCATGGGTAACAATTGCAGTGTAGACATGATGGCACAGGCTAGCATCCAGAGTATAAACTGATTGAGGACCCTGGGTATGTATCCCGGTTGTTAGCCCATGTGCATGGTCTATACTACTACTACTGTTACCCATGATTGCTAGATTAAAGCTAGCCGGGGTGCGCCTGCCTACCCATGTAACAATCACACCTTCACTTGCAGTGTAGATGCACCTTAAGAAAAGCAGAACCAGGCCTCAGGGTGTTCCCAGAGACCACCTATGCTGCGGTGTGAGGTACAGACTCAGCAAAGCACTTAAGTTTCATTGGCTTCAATGGGATTTAAGCACATGCTTTAAAGTGCTTCCCTGAATCAGGGCTTAAGCCATGCTAGCTGCACCAAGGCTCAGAAATGGTTGCGGGCCGGGGGGCTGGAACAATTTGTACAGTGGGGGTGCTGAGAGCCATTAAACCAAACTGGAAACCCTGTATATCATGGAAACCACTTCAAGCCAGGGGTTGCGTCTGCACCTATGGTTGAGGCTAGCAGAGTCCCTCCCCGTCAGACAGGGATATTTTAAAAGCTGGTTCCCCAGAAGATGCTCACGAGGATTTCCCTAGGTTGGCATTCACCCAGATGGCAGGTTTCATAAGCCCGTCATATGCAGATGCAAACCGAGACCCGGCCTGCACTACCACCTGTTTTCACCCCATTCCCTCTGTAACGTGGCTGAGGACTTTTTGGGGGGTGGGGGTTGTTAGTTTTTTCTGCCTCTTTAGACCACAGAGAAACGAGAACCCATCACCTCATGCAAAGAAACTGCCTCAGCCTAGGTAGTACCAGGGTCAGAACGGGTCTCTGACAGGCTTCGATATTTGTCTCCAAACCCATTTTACAGCACATTAAGGACACAGCTGTGTTACACCAGAGGGGTCAAAAGGTGGATTATTTGTAACTTCCGTGTGGACACTGTCAATGGCCATCACCCATTGTTCACAGCCACACACGGGGGCTGGGTTGAACCAAGGGTTTCTAAAACCGTGGTTCTCTCCTGGATGGGACCTAACCATACCAGGGTCAGGGCACGAAGTGCTTTAACGCTGTGCCCTGTAGCACGGAATGTGTGTGAGATTAAATCATTTTCACACGGGGAATGGGGTGGGAAGCCTATTCTAATACACTCTATTGCCTCCCCCCCTCAGCACACTTCTTCCTCCATCCGCTCCCCCTCCCACAATCCATGCAGGCCCGGGACATTATTTCTACTGCCATTATCCGGAGGGTAGCACTTTTCACCCCACTTTAGGCAGGCACCCTCCTGCTTACAAACCCCTCTCCATCCATCTCCCACCCCTAGCCTCTCCCGCCTATAGCAGCTCCCTGCCCAGCTTTATGGGCTCCCACACCAGCCATTGTGGACAGAAAATGGATCAAGCCGGTATCCCTTTCTACACACGCTGCAGGGGGGCTGGCTCCCTGGAGGTACTCCGGAGGGGAACCTCGCCCTGGCTAACCAGTCCCCCGGTCCCCACGGGGCTGAGGAAGTGGGAAGAGAGAGAGGAGGCGAAAACAATCACAAGGAACCAGCGCTAATCCCAAAGCCCCGGGGAAAGGCCGCAAGCCCTGCAGGCCCAGCGTGGCATGGGGAGCCCCTTCCCCGCCCCCCACTCGTGGGGCTGATGAAGCTGTCCTGAGATGGGGGGGCCGCTCAGAAACAGGCTGGAGCTACCCCCTCCCCAAGAGGTTTCACAAAGCAGGAGCCAATGCAGGGGGCTCCCCCGTGTCCAAACGCACCTCCCCGACCGCTGCATTTCCCCCCTCCCCAGCACGGGGGGCGGGAATGCCCCCTGCCTCCCCACTCAGGGCGGGCTGCCCCCAGGGCTCTGCCTGGGCTAAAATCTCTGCTAGCGCCCCCTGCACCCCACCCCCAGCGTCCTAGGCCTTAAACCGCCCAGCCCAGCCCCACCGCCCTGCCTAGGAACCGGCGGAGGAGGCTGAAAAGCCCCTGGACCCACGCTGGCCTCGGAGAAGCCCCCCCAGTCTTACCTGGTGCACAAAGACATCCACGGGGGAGTCCAGGGCCATGCCCTCCTTGCTGGTCATGGAGAGGAAACCGAAGCCCATCCTGACGTTGAACCATTTGCAGATCCCGGAGCCGTGGAGGGGCTGGGGTTCCTCGTCTGGCTTCGGGGAGTCTCCCGCGGGCTCCTCGCCCGTCTTCGCACAGCCACCTGGAAACATACAAGCCAGACCCACTGAGCTAGGGGAGAAGGAACCAGGAGAGCCGCCTTCGCCATAGCGCGGAGTTGGGGACCAGCATCCGGGGCGCCCATGGGAGCATGATCGAGCTTCCCTCTGCAGCCCCTGCCCCGCTCCTCCCGAGAGACCCCCCACTACTGAGACCCCCGATTCCCTAGGAATCTCCCTGGCTGTTTCTGCTGCCTCCAACCCAGCTGCGCGCACCGAGCCAGGAAGCTCCACTCTAGCCTTCGAGAAACCGCCAGAGCCTTTGCTCCTTTGGGGGGGCGGGGGAGCCTCTCTCGCCCCAAATCTAAAGTAAATTCACCGCAGTAGGGAGTAAATAAAACACCGACACCCCCCCCCACCCCGACATGAAGTACGGGTCACCCACGTCTGATGGCAAAGGGGGCCTGGGAGAATCAATCTCCCATCTCGAGAAGGATTATTTTGTTATGCTGATCGAAGCCAGTTGCAATTAACCTCGATGAGATCCAAGAGACAGAGGGACCGAACCCCCACATTCCCGTTCCCCTCCTCCCCAAAATGGTGCGAAATCAAAGAGAAATCCCCCCCCGAAAAGTTTTTTGCCTCTCGAATTCAGCTGATCGCACATTTTAAAAGCCACTCTCTCTACTCCCGCCCCCCATTCCCAGGGTGCTAGATTCGCCCAGGCTTCACAAAATAAAATAATAATAATAAAAATGCCCACAACTTCCCAACTCTCACCCCAGAGGAAAGCACATGTTGCAGCAACTCACTGATTTCATTTAATACCCACCCCCGCCGAAAAAAAAAGGGGGGGGAAGCAACCATTCGTTTAGTGAGTTGCTAAATCTAATGCACCCAAGGGTAGATTCTTTCCACAAAGCTGAAACAAACAAAACACCACCGATCATTTTGGGTAGCTGTGAATTCCACCCCTCTCCAAATCAACCCAGTCTGGAATAAAGCAGCACCGAACCTGCAAACTGCTGGTTGGAAACAGAACCCATCCTGCACCCCCTTGGCAAAATCCTGAGCTGTGGACGGAATCCCCTCCACTCCTCGCTGCAGCCAGCCTGGAGGGTGTCACCGCAGCCCAGCCCCCAAAAAAAGATTCAAACCCGAGAGGAGGGGGGAAGAGAAAGGTTTGCTACATCTTCACTCCAACAATAGAGGTGGGAGGGCCCCAGGGCTTTCAAAGGATCCCAAATTCTAAGAGACAATAGCAACCCCTAGAGCCATGCCCCCTCCTTCTCTCCCGCCTCGACAACACCCCTGAGCTCTCCCCCCTCCCAGAAGTGGGGAGGGGAGGGGGAGTCACCTTCTGCCATGCTGCCTGCTGCGGGACAGCCCTGGTTAATTTCACTTTCCCCCTTTTCCTACTTCATCACGCCTGCTGGCTCCAGGGTTTGGGGGGTGGGGGAGGAGCCCGCCTTGCCTGGCATCCCTGGCTCTGTTTTATCATAGTGTGGGTTTCACATGTCCCCTTCCTTCCCTCCTTCCCCTCCCCCACATGACTCAGTTACTTTCCCCCCTTGCTAATAATTATACATTCCAAGAGGGATTTTTGTTTTAAGGGAGGGGGAGGCTGCCTGCGAGTGCAAACCCCACAGCGGGCCAATCACGGATAGAAACCACCTGTCAAGACAAAAAAAATGGATGACCCCCCCCCAACCCCCCTTTGCACTCCACTCCACCTCCTTCAGGACACTATTAAGTGCTGTACCCTCCCTCCCCCGCCTATAGTCAGTTTGGCTGGGAGATGATCAGCAGGACTTTAGCTGACCTGTTTAAAATGAGAGCTCTCCCGCTTCATTCCTACTTGGCATGTTAAAGCTTTCTCTGACAATTCCCTCCTCCCTGAAAGGAGAGAGTAGTTTGTCCTACTATTAGGGGTAGAGGAAGGGAATCGCGAGGGACCCGCTCCAAAATTACTCAGTCATGGGCCATGGGCTTCTAGGAGGCTCTGAAATGAATGGTAGAGGGAGGGCTTTGATTGTTTCCCCGTTTATTGCTCTCTGGTGAGGTATTAATTTTAAACCACCTGCGATTGGAGTCATCTGGCTTCCCAAACTTCGGATTCGAGCACATTGAAATGACCCAACCCTGCTTTTGAACAACAACAATAACAAAAGTTATGTATTCAATGCTCGGCTTTAGTTAACAATTTCCCAGGAAGATTTCTTTAAAAACGAACAAACAAACAAAGGCTTGGGGGGGGGGGGAGAAGAAAGAAAACACAAAGGGATGTTTTATGCAGGGGGGAGCAACCAGATTTTTTTTTTTGCTCGATGCATCACGTGGAAAACGAATGAAGAGATTTCCTCCCCTCCCCCCCGTTCGTTGGTTCAAAATCAAAGGCCGGTGGGAACAATTTGGGGAGGTCCGCTCAGTTTTGTAAATTTCATTTTTGCACGCGGGATATATTTCAGCCTAATGAGAGCGTTAAAACGCCAGGAGATAGAAGCACGTTCCCCAGCCGGAGAAAAACACGGATGTTAAAATGAAAGTCCCCCAAATCGAATCCCCTTGAAACGGTTCTTTTGGCCCCACTCAGAGTTGTTTTTGGAAGCGTTGCATAACAACCTGGGAATTAAATCGACTCCAATCACCCTTTTAATCAAGTCTTTTCAGTTCTCCCCCCTTCCAAAGAAGTTATGAAGGGCACGAGTATCTTTGCCCCCCATGCATGTAAAGTTGAGTGATATAATTTCCACCCCCGCGACAGCCGGGCCTCTGGGGTGGGCAGGGGGAATTGGAAGCGAAGTCCCAGAGCTGGTTAAAAGGCAATCGGATCAATTGAGATGCGATCAATGCTTTGGGGCTGATGGATGGGATGGGAGACCCCCGGGCGCAAGCAGAGGAGAGACCCCTAAGGAAGGGGGTTCTTGGCTGGGAAATCCACTTGCTCCCCGTGAAATGCTGGGTCCCGGGCTTCATTCCCCTTGCCCCGGAAGGGGGGCGCTTTGAACTCTAGGATCTCTCTGGCCAGCATATTTGACATTACATATTTGGAGCGGAAATGACCCATTTGGCTATTCGGGGGGGGGGCGCTTTCTTCCCTCCACTGATATTGGCTTGGGGGAGGGGCTGGCTGGGGGGGGGGGTCTGCATTAGGAACCGAGGGTCCCGATTTGCATGGCCTGAAGGGGTGGGGGCTGGAGGGAGCTGAGCTTTCGCAGGGGTGGGTGGCTCCAAGCTCCCCCCTCCTCCTCGGGGAGAGAGATTTCATGGCTGGCCCAGGACAATGGCTGAGTGACCAGGGCAGGCTTCCAGGCTCCATTTCCGGCGCTCAGTTCAAACTGGACAATGCCAGCGAGCGATTCCCCCGGAGCAAGGCTGAACTTTTAAAGGGACAGTGTCTCATATCCCAGCTCCGGCCAAGCCCACCCCAGCCGTCCGGCCGGCCCGCGCCTCTTTTATTCGTAAAGGGACTCCTCGTTCCTGGAGACAATGTAGGTGATCTCCTAGCGGTTCCTTCCAAGCCCGCGAGCGGGGGCAAAAGATTTTGCCCCCGCCCCGTTTTCCTGGGGGACACCGCCAGACCGCGGAAACCGGTGTCTCTCTCTACCCACCTCCCCATAACAAACCTGCCACACCTGGCTCTAAAATGGGATTCCTTCGGCTACAGGCCGCTTCCAATGCACAGAGTTGCCCGTGGAACACGATAGGGTCTATATAGGGATTGCTCACAGAAAACACGCTGGTTCTCTCCATCCATCCCCAGCGCTCTCTCTGGTTCTACCCACGCTCCGTCCCCCTGGCTTCTCTGACTCCAAAGCGCGCACACGGTCCCCTTCCCTTGCTTGTTTTGGGGGTAGGAGGCGGGACTCCCAAACTAGAATTAGCATTTTCCCTTCCCCCCAATAAAAATAATAATAATAATAATAATAGCAAATTAAAAACGATTGGCACCGATGAATGATCATTCCTGGCGGCCAGGAAAACCAACCTCTGGCCAGGTCACTTTTAGGGGGATTGTTATTTTTAATTTTTAAAGGGCGAGGAGACGGGCTGGCTGGAGATTTTCCATGTTTGTTCATTCATTCAAACCAGCCGCGTGGGAAATGGGCGCTAAGCGGAGACTCGCAGACCCGCGGAGTGGGTCTGCTTTAGGGCGGCAGAGGTTAGCAGCTGCAGGGGGGTAAGAGAAAAGCCAATCCCGCCCCCGGGCACTGATCAACGCAGAGCCATTGGCCTGTGAGCTGTGCAGGGAACGGGATCGGGGAAACCTCCACCTGTCCTTCCCTGCCTGAAAGGGGTCCCAAAGCGCCGGCTGAGAAGAGCGATCAGACCCAAAGTGGGAGCTGGCCGGAGGCCCAGCCGCGGGGTTTGAACCGGGCGCTGTCGGCCCCCAAGCGCTGAGCGCTCCCACGGGAGTTAAAGGGGGGAACTGCGGGGGGACGGACAAGAGGCGAGAATTTCAGCCCCGTTTCGGAGGGGCCGGGACACTCCGCAACTGACATCCTCAGAGCCTCGGGCTGGGTCTCCGAGGCTAGCGCCGGGCAGTGCCTGGCCGAGCGCTCCCCGCTCCTCCCTCGGCCCAGGCTGGAGGGACTCCCCGGGAAGGGGGACTCAGAGAGCTCCGCTAACCCCTGCTGGGCCGGGCAGCCCCGCAGCCTCGAGTTACTCGCGTCATTGAGCGGTCAGGACTCGCCACCCCGGTTCCTGGGGGTTTCTCCTCTCGCCCACGGCACTCGAACTGTTGGGTTAGGTGCTGGTTCCCCCCTTTCCTTTCCCGAAGGGATCCTGCCGGGGAGTTGGCGAGTTTGGCCAAGACAACATTTGACGTCTCTCCGGGCTCTGCAATCACTCGATTCCTGCCTAGCCTCGGGTTCACATTCAACATTCACCGATTTGCCAATTGCTTTCTGAGCCTACCCTCGCCCTGCTGGAAGGGAAAAGTGGGGAGCCTTGAAATCCGTGCTTCTCGCTCAGCACCTTATCTGTCTGTGGGCTACCAACCCCTCCGGTAGCCCCCTTCACCGGGGGGGGGGGGGGCAGCAAAGCGCGTCCAATTTAGACTAGGATGGGGGGAGAAAGAGAATTCAGGATCAAACTGGAAGGTCTATGCTCTGTCCAGGGTGCTGACTTGCTGGGTCAGGGCTGCCTGGCGTTGTCCCTGGTGCTGAAAGGCAGATCGGCCTCACTCTGTCCAGGGTTCTGAGTGGGGATTTCATTTTCTAGACAAACCCAGAAACACACACGAAAAATAATTCCGTTTTTTTTCTTAAACTGAATCTAACTTGTTAAACATTCCATGCCCCGCCCCTCTTTTATCCAGCATGTCCATCATTATGAGGGAAACCACAATTCAGTTGCGTTGCTATAATCTCACATTGAATCTATTTCCCCATGTTACGGTAAGTATCCTCACACCTTCTTGTCATTATCACTACAAAAGTTTGTTTTCTCTCGCTGATAATTGCTCATCTTAATTAATTAGCCTTTTAGAGTGGTAGGGCAACTCCCACCTTTCATGCTCTCTGTATGTGTATATGTATCTCCTTACTATATGTTCCATTCTATGCATCCGATGAAGTGGGTTATAGCCCACGAAAGCTTATGCTCAAATCAATTTGTTAATCTCTAAAGTGCCACAAGTACTCCTCGTTCTTTAATCTCAACGTAGTTATCTTTCAATCTTGCCTTGATTGTTATTTCTAATATAGTAGTTCCATTTTTTGCAGCCAATGCAAAGCTTTCTTTAGGTGTTAACTGGTGTCTTTGTTTTTAGGCAGTGGCTGGAGTCTGTGGAGTGTATTTTGATCATCGAAAAACTACTGGTACTGCTCAATATTTCTGAGACACAATCTAAAATGGAAGAAAGGCCTAAATAATCCCCCATTTCCCCCTTATCTTCACTTTTTGGATTGAATATCATGTAATGTGACTCGAGATATTAGGACATCTGAACAAGTGTGATTATTTTAAATAATTGTTCTGTTGCATCACTGTTGTAATATTTTAATAATCTGGGTTATTAATCATTATTACCAATTAATGGATACCTATTTAGGCATGACTTAGTAAAAGGTGTAGTTAGTTTGCAGGACACACAAGGCATGTTCATAAGAACCTGCACCACCTGTCTCACCTTGCAACTGTTGCAAACTTTCAGATGCATCTTCCCAGAGCAGAGAAGCAGGTAGGGAAATGCTGTTCTAGGGAACTGATCAAACCTTCCCAGCAGTGATTCGGGAGGGTGCTTTTATGACAGTAGATTTCTGAGGCAATAAAACTTCTAGAGGGGAAAAATGCCTGTGA